CAATTACTATTTTGAAAAAAATTATAATGCGTTAAATTACTCAGTTACTAAAAAAGTAATCAAATTACAGTAACGCGTTACATAATGCGTTACTGCCAAACACTGCCCATGAGGAAACAAGCTTATAAATCATACAGAGTGAAGTTTTTTTGAAGATCTAAAAATGCAGAAAGTTTTGTGTGAGGGGTAGGTTTAGGTGTATAGGGTTAGGTTAAGGGGACAGAAAATACAGTTTGTACAGTATAAAAATCATTACATCTATGCAATATCCCCATAAAACATGGAAACCCAACGTGTTTGTGTGTGTGTGTGTTTCACAGAGCTGCAGTGAGAGTGTTTGCTATGTTTCTCTGCGACCGTGGCCAATTCAACAGATGCTTTCGCTCTATGTGCTGGTGATTCTTACGGTTCTCTGCCCAAAGTCAAATGGATGGAGCTGATAATCAAGGCCTTTGTGCCATCTGTAAACTCATTTACAAGAGAGATTTAGAAAGGCTGCGCTGAACAGAGAGGGAGATAGAAGAAAGGACAGGAAGAATATCTATTTGTTTGTTTTTTTGGTATAGTTTATTATTTTATATTTTCAATCCAACTGGCAATGAATCCAAAATTTAACTGAATTCATTATCAATTATGTGTCTCTGTTTGTCTCATCTAGACATTACAGATGAATCAGATGAACCACTAAAACATCCAGAGACATTTTATCCCCTAAAAACCTGAGCAGTAATTAACAGTAGGTCACGTATTGATTTATACTGCATTCATCCTCAGACCATCTAATTGTGTGTGCGAGGTGTGTGTGTTTGCTGTACCGTGTGAATAGCACAGGAGTCGTGCAAGGCGAGTGAATGACTGCAGCTCATTGCAGAGTGCGATTCCTATTGTGCGGTTGCTTGGATACTGTTGCTATAGCAACAGGCTCTAGTGCAGTGTAAAAACACAAAGAATTAAATAATAAAGAGATTGTGTGAAAACAGAAGGCATTACCCATCCTTTCACATTCAAAGCTTTGTTTTTAACTGGACAGAATGATCACACAAGTAAACACTATAGATATGACTCTCCTTTTCTAACTTGTATAAATAGCTGACATACTTAAGGTTGTCTCTAATACTCTATCATTATTCATTGAGTGAGTTCTCAAAGTTTAGTGTTTGTCACAAACTCTCACAACAATGGAATGATCCTGAGTCCTATGATCAATGGAAAGCACCGTTTGGCCATCTACACTGGATTAATATAGAGATTTTCAAATGGGGGTCCACAAAAAATTGAAGAAAGATTTGATTTATTTTTTTTAACAACATCTACTCTACTGTTCAAAACTTTGATGTTAGTAAGATTGTCTAATGTTTTGAATATTAATGAATCTTTTGTAACATTACAAATGTCTTTACTGTCACTTTTGATTCATTGCTGAACAAGGTATTATTTTCTTTCAAACATAAATCGTACTTACCCCAAACTCTTTCGATTTATTTATTTTTGTTATTTATTTTTTTGTTAACTGTTAACTAAATTAAATGTAATTATAAGCAAGGCAATAATTGTAACTTTTTTTTTTTTACTTATTTTAATATTATTACATGATACAAAAAAGTTTCCAATATCACATATTTATTTCTGTTGATGGGGGAGATATATTGTGTTTTTTTTTTTTTTGAGACATTGCTTCAAGTGTTTTTTGTACTTTTGCTATAACTTTCAATGGAGTTTTTCTTTTCCACCTTTAGCTTTATATTTCAGTGTCATCATCACAAACGGTTCATAATATCTGGTGGTTCTTGACATCAAAAAGCTTGATTAAATGTATTATTATAGCATTTAAAAGTGGGGGAATCCCTCCAGTCAGACTTATGAAGGAGTCACTCACAGTTACTCTCACACATTAATGAGAAATTCTTTACCCAGTCTGATCAGACACAGCCAACAAGCCCATCTCCTCACTTCTCTTTTACAGCCAGTCTCTAAATGAGCGCTCCAAATGAAGGCACTCACCACCACTTACTCGTGTTAAGAATGCTGAGGACCGAGTGGAGTGGGTTGAAATATCTTATTTATACTGGTCAGGCCCTCTTACTGTGTCACATCCAGTGTTGGGAAGGTTACTTTGGAAATGTAATAGGTTACAGATTACAAGTTACCCTACTTAAAATGTAATAAGTAGTGTAACTTTTCAATTACTTTATTAAAGTAATGTAACTGATTACATTCGATTACTTTTTGATTACTTTTCTAAATTTCTAATGTTTGCAACTGTTTATCATTTTCAAACATGTAAACTGGGCAGGGTTAAACTTACAGTGGTACTCAACACTGATTACGGTCACACTTACAACATCCTTCATCACTTGAATTAAGATTATATTTCAGTTTTAAAGTAGACATAGGATGCAAAATTCACTTTTACATGGTGTTTGCATATAAATGTATCTTAGCAGTGTGTGGACACAACCACCCTACAATGATAAAAATCCATTCACTCC